AAACAAGTGAGGACTAAAGTGAAATTTGCCATATATTTTGTCAAACAATGATCAATCAAACAAAGGAAAACAAGGAGATGAAGAGGAAGAGAAAGAGGAAGAAGAAAGAGAGGAGAAAAGAAGAAAAGAAAAAAGGGAGAGAAAGATGAAACCGAGAATAGAGAGAGAGAGAAGAGAAGAGAGCGATGGAGGTGGCTGGAAAAGTAGCCGTTGGTGAGCAAAACTCTAGTGATCGAAAAGAGTGAAGGAAGATCAAGCATATGTGGGTGAATGTATAAGGATGTATTTGGTTGGGAGTGAAAAGGTATGTTGTGTTTGGATCTAAGATCACCCTTCTATAGTACGCATTCCTCTTCAAGCATCAGCTAGCTTGTATTTTGTTTATTAGCCTCCTGCGATTGTTGAGATAGTTTGTACTACCACATGGTGGTAGCTTCCTATCGGGATAATACAGACGCCTAAGGAGCTCCAAGCGGGATATTATGAAATACCATATCATGACAACTCGAGGATAAATTGTGGGTTGAGTATGGTTATCCAATGATGAGTACACCATCCTAGGGATAGATTGTTGATGATACCACCCCAAGGATAGACCGTGGGTGGGATATTGATACATGATGCCTCGAGGATAGACAGTAGGCGAGGTTCTTCTACATGATACCATATCATGACACCTTGAGGATAGACTGTGGGTGGAGTATGGTTATCTTATGATGATTCAGTCATCTCAAGGATAGACTGTGGATGGTGCCACCCCAAGGATAGACTGTGGGTGGTCTAGTTGGTTGTCTGTATTAGGGACCCTAGGTACTACATGGTAATAGTGGTTGTGGTTATAATAACGATGTGAGGAGAGTTGGTTACCACCCAACAGGTATAGGCTAGGGTGGAATTTTATGATTATTCAGCGGGTATAAGCCGGGGTGGAATTTATGAATATCCAGTAGATATAGGTTGGCGTGCAATATATGATTATTTAGCAAGTATAGGTTGGGTGGAAATTGTGGATACTTGGTGGGCATTGGTGTGAGTAAGAGTGGGTTTCATGTTGGGAAATGTCTACTCAGCTTTGATGATGGGCATATTGAATTTTGTGAAACTAATTCGATGACCCATGGTAAATGGGGAAGTTTGTGCAAGGATACAAATTAAGGATTTATTGTGTCTGGAAATTATAAAAAGAAAGTTTGGTTTCGCTAAGGGAATGGTTATGTGTTACGTGAAGTGCAAGTATTCTCTTATGCAAGTTTAAGGTTGAAATTATTTTCATTTATGAACTATGTTATCCACTCACTAGGCTTCCTAGCTCACTATTTTATTATTTTCCTCTCAAGTTTGCATACAGGGTACATGAGGCGCATGCTACATGCTTTGGGTTGGCCACAAACGCATGTTCATCGACATGATGTTTGTACATATTAGAACTCTCTGATATAGTGTTTTTATGTAAACTGATTTCTAATGTTTACACTTTCACAATTATATTTTAAATTGTACTACAGTCATTAAAGTTTTATGAATGGAATTTTTATAAACTGTTTAAAAAAAATTCACCCTCCTCTTAGGATCCTAGGCCCCTCAGAGTGCCCAGATCTAATGAGATAGAGAATACCTGGGAGAATGCGTGACAGAAGAAAGAGAGTCAAAAGAACAATATGAAGAAGAAGGGTGTTTTTGAGGAGGAGGAGGAGGAGGATAAGAGGCAGTGGTTGGGGTAGGGAAGAAAGATAAAAGGGATCTTAAAAAAAAATTGAATTTAACATTCCGTCCTCCTTCAGTTAAAGTTAACGAATGGATCTTAACTATGTGTGGGAAATTTTCTTTTTCAAACCTTTCAGGTGGAAAAATTACTTAGGCCAAACCTTGAGTTTACCATTTGTCCTCCTTCCATTAAAGAATGGTAACCAATGTTTTAAAACCCAGACCAGGCAGGCCAATTCGATCAGTTCAACCGAGAACCAACTCCCTATCTAGTCTAAGCATCAATAAAAAATGTTTTTAGCTTATGACTCGGTTTGGGCCAGATTTTGATCGATGGAACAGTAGCAAACTACTAGTTCAATCGACCTGGTGACTAAACTAGGTCAATTATGGCTACCGGTTTTCTTCCTTTTCTTTCTTTCTTTCTTTTTTTTTTTGTTTGTTTCCCGTTCCTCTCCTCTCTTTCTTTATTCCTCTTTTTGTTTTTTTTTTTCTGCGTTGGCTGATGAAGGCCCAAAGGAGATCAATATGGCTGACAATGTGAGTCAAAATCAGTCAGATTTGGCCGATCATGTGAGCTATAATGCGTAGCTTTGGAAGATAATCTGAGTACGACATCAATTAGATCTAGCCATCGTGTAGCCTTGGGCTACTTCCAATGACAAGCAAAACCAAAGTGGAAAGAGAAAATTGAGGAGAGGAAAAGGAAAGAAAGATAACGGATCGAAGGTGACGAGAAAGACGGCGATGTAAAGAGGGAGCGGGGATCTTGTTTCTTAAATTGAAGGGAGCTAGCTCTGGATTTCTTAAATTTAGGTGGCAAAGGATGTAAAAATTGCAAGCGTGTGTTTGCTAGATTTCAACCTGCACAAGATTGATATAATTTCTCAGGCTGTTTGCTAGATTTCGAAAATAGGACTGGTGTAACGTTCTTAGGGGTGTGTTTTGCTAGACACGGCCCGTTCGGCCCGACCGACCGATCAGACTATCCAACCTGGGATTAGTTGAGAGTGGGTGATTAAGGCGACAATCAAATTAATTATTCAAAGTTGTAAGGACGAGGATGTCTGGTTAAACTCAAACTATGTTGACATCTATAACATTTGGCTTACATAACAGGCTCCAATCCACTTTCACAGCATTTCTCATCTTAGAGATACATAATAAACATTATTTCAATAATCTATACCTTTATTCTGCCTATTTAATCTCATCACTCTTAGAAAAAAACAAAAATTCGTGACATTGAATTGAAAACTAGGTTGAGTAAGGAATTTGTTTGAAACCCAATGTATAGACTATTGAATTGACACTCTAATGACAATGAAAAAATGATATAGAAGAAGTCTGGATCAACCCAAGGCTTTATAACTTGAAAGCATGAAAAGGTTTTGTGGAGCCTTGAGGTGTGCTTTCCATTCTGAAACCGTTGGATCCTAGTTCTAGATCTTCCAACTTCGAGCTTCAACTTCAAGTTGGCTTGGCTTTTTGGAGCTGGCTTACTTTCAAATCCGAACCTTCCTTCTGAAATCCAAATACTTTTGTTTTTTTATTATCAGTTTATTATTGTTTGTTATGCTAGTCGAATGCTTTTGCGAAGTGATTTCTCATAGAGATTGGTTGAAGACACACAACACGGCTGCTTCTGTTTGAATTAAACTCAAAAGACAATTCACAAGTTGGAAATTTATTAAACTTTTCTTTCAAGCTGTGGGGTGTGGTTTGCATATTGCATTTTAGTCTTTGCTGTGCTTGTGATTAGTTTAAACTTAGAATGAGTTGATCCAGGCGGCCTCAAATTAATAGTCAAAATATGCCCCTTTTCTTCACGATCATTGTCAGATTAGGACCAAATCACATCCTAAAAATTCCCCTTATTCCTAAGCTAATCTAAGTCTCTTTAACATGTTATGATCTATGAAGTCCAAATCTCATGTTATGTCTCTCCAATCTCAATGTAGAAGAAATGATATATGAAAACTAAAGAAAGTGTACAATATTTTTTGTCTTCAGCATCAATAAATTAAGCCGTGGGTCCAAAAATACCAATTATAGATAACTTTTAAACGACAAAATCAAACTAATCATGACACGGTATGAATATGTCAAGTAAGATGTATTGTTTTTTGGAAAGCATTACTTATGGCATCTCATTGCTCGGTATTCCAGTTCTTTTCGTTAATTAAATTTACATAAAAAATCTTTCGAAAGTCTGATATATCTTCAACTGTGTTTTAAACGTGGATTCCAGACATATATGATGAGAATTCACCACTCGTCATCGTTCTCTCTCTCGGTTTCGCTCTCTTCTAAAGAGAGAAGAGTCCTTTCATTTCTTCTGTGGATAAACGAAACAAACCAGAAAGTCGAAGATGCCAACTTGAATATAGACACGATATCCTATGCAAAACCCGTCAAGTCTCCTTCGTTTCAGAGCCATTTCCAAAACATGCTGCTCCTTCGGTCGATGGCCAAGACTTCATCAAAAGGCATCTAACCATTCGCTCCTAACCAAGTTCCAATCTCAGCCTCATTCTCAAAGGTTTGCCATCTCTATAATAGAATTCGATAACTGGTACCCCAAATGATCTCAAACACCCTTTGTACAATGGTGGGGAACCGAAGTTATTGGTTGCGTCTACGGTTTGATTTTGTTTGCGAAAACTCCGAACAAGATCTGCTTTGTATAACCCTTCAACTAGAAAGTTAAAGAGACTTCCCAGTTAGTGAAATGGGTTGCCAAGTGATCTTGTAGTCCTGGTTATGTTTTTTGGTTGGACAGGAACCATTAAGGATGACTTAATTATTGAGAATGGTGCAGTTAAGAGAATGATCTAAGATGAAGTTGTGTTCTTTCTTTGGTTATGAAGTTAAGAGTTTATAGTTTAAAGACGAATCATGGGAGAAAAAATTAGTAACTGCCTAGCTATTTACGTATTTGTTTCATTCTTTTAATCTTATGTTTAGAAGGGATATGGTGTTCCGCTAGTGGTTCTTAATGGGGCGCGCCTCGGAGGCAGGAGTTGTTGATGTGCCTAATTTGATTGGTTGCTTTTTGCTTTGTGAAAGAGGAGTTTCGCGAATTGTCAATCCCTGCCTGGTTATGGTGATTGAAAGTGACAATATTAATAAGAATTTTCAATTGGATGTGGGAGTCTTGGAGGGGTCTCTATGTGTTGTTTGTTACCGTGACCAAGTTTATGCGGATGTTTGGATGATGAAAGAGTATGGGGTGAAGGAATCTTGGACCAAGTTGTTTACTGTTAAACGGCCTGGAACAGTGAATTGTTTAGCATTCTTGAGACCTTTGGCGTATTCAAAAGAGGGTGATAAGGTTCTTGTTGAAGTGAATGGCGAAAAGCTGTTATGGTATGATTTGGAAAAGAAAAGACTCAGGAGTGTGAGGATCAATGGCGGTCCAGATTCATTTGGAGCAGAAATGTGTGTGGGAAGCCTTGTCCCTCTAAATGATGGAGATAGTAAAATCCATGGAATGAAGCAGAGGGAGAAAGAGGAAAAGAAGAAGATTACAAATAAGAAGATCAGGTAAAACAACTCAAACTTATACTTGTTCTACATAGTTCAATTTTTTTTTTTAATTTCTTGTTTTAGCATTTCCATAGTTTCTATCCATATGATGATATGAGTAATCTGATTGATATGTTCATAGTACTGAAGTAGAGGTGTTTTTGAATTGGTCAGGGTTGATTTCTTGTCAAAAGGGTTTAAGCTGGTTTTGTAATCACCTGAGAATAAGAGCACCCAAAGGGAAAGAAGGTAAGCTCTAAACCTTGTATGAAATTGTTTTTGGTGAATTATTCGCTAATTGGTTACTTTTGGCTAATGGTATGTTGGGTGAAAACTATAGACCAAAATATCATATTTATTAGTACATTATGATTAGAGGACTAATCATACCCCTTTTTTTTCTTTTTTTTACTATTTTGCATCCAGTTGTTTCTTGTTGCAGGTTTTTCCCTCGGTGCTTTATGCTTAGTTGCTTACACTTGAAGCAGCAGTCAACACAGTTTCAGTGCATATACCTGAATGTTCTTCCAAGAATTTTAGTTGTTTACTGTAAAACAAAATTTCCTGTCAAACTTAGTCACAAAAGTTGTATTAATTTGAACTTCTTGTACATTTTCTGGACTTGCCTTCTAAGCACAATAGTACCGCGATTAAGTAGATCTTTTTGTCACATGGGATTCAAAAATTAAGGCTGAAAAGTATGTTGAAACTGATCATGAAATAGAAAGGGTAGTTTTGATGCTTTCAAAAGAAAGCACATGCTTTATTTGAAAGCTCCAATTTCCAAGAAACATGGTGTTCGGGTTTGATCCTGAAGCTAAGTATCATGTGTAGTCCTTTTTCCTTCTCCAATATGTATTTTTTATTGGTTTGCAGAAGCATGTGAATTTGGAGCGCTCTTCACAGCATGCAATGGCGAGAGTCCGGTTGAAACATCTGAGATCGCCACATAAGTTCCAAATCAAACATATGCTCTACACGTACAGATTAACATGCTACCAATAATTTAAAAGGAAATGGAGTTGAAAAATCACGGGCTATTTGCCCCAATATTAATGGCTGTTGGCTCTCTGAAATCAAAGAACATCAACGAAACTCATTGATCAGTGATGACAAAGCAACTTCTTTAGTATTTGATAATGGTGGGTGTGTTATATTCATTCAATACATGCAAGGATTGGAAATCCACCATTGCTTTTACTCTGAAGGATCTTGCATCTTTAATGTCCTTTAGAGAAGTGTAAAAACTACGCACTGTTCCTCCATTAGTCTCAGAAATATTCAGTCAACTTTTCCTTTGTTTTACTTGTTTTTTCCTCTTTATTTACCACACATCATGGCAAAGCTAAAAGATGCATTAAGGTTGAAAATTGGCCAGTGCTATGACTGCATACTGCATATTAAAAAAATATGATAATAACTCTTTGATAAAATCACACAATCAAAAACTATGTGCAAATGGACCTTGAAGTAGAAGGCAAGGTGGATGCCTTCAAAACAAAGTTACTAAACAAATTGGCGAGTGCTTTAGGAAGGCTCCAATTTCCAACACAAATTTGACAGGTGGGTTTTGGGTTTGATTCTGAAGCTAGGTATCAGTTTCTTCCTTTATACTTCTCCTGTAACATTTACTTGGTTTGGAAAAACCTGTGGGTCAGTGTAGAGCTGGGCATTTGGGACCGGGCCCAAAAGCCCAGCTCCAAAAACCGGTCCTAAGACCGGTCCTTGGGAGGACCGGTCCTAGGAGGCCTGGTCCCAAAACGGGACCAGGCCTTAGGAGGAGGGCCCGAGCCCTCCACTGGGCCCTCCTCCAAGGCCCGGGCCTAGGACCGGTCCCAGGCCTGGGCCCAAAATTTTTTGTATATTTTCAATGTAGTCCCTTGCCAAATTACATAAAACCCCCTGTTAATTTTAAATAGATATAAATTATGAGGGTTAAAATAAAATTTTACAAAATTTATTAAAAAAAAAATCTTCCAGGTCTAAAAAATTTATAAATTTTATAAATTTTACCCCTAAAAAATACTAAAAACCCCCTATAAAATTTCATTTTACCCCCAAAATATAAAAAAATTGAGGGGGGGAAATGAAATTGTCCAAGGCCCATGGGACTGGTCCTAGGACCGGTCCTAGGCCCATGAGTGACTGGTCCCAGTTGGGACCAATCCTAAGGGACCAGTCCCAAACGGGCCCAGGCCTGGGCCCGCAAGGGACCGGTCCCTTGCCCAGCTCTAGGTCAGTGCACGGTGTTGCACTTAATTCTTCTACATGGCTTTAGCTGTTTGTTACTAAACAATAATCCAAAAGTGGCCATTTGGATAAAGAGTAAATAAGATAACGAGGGTAATATTCGTTTATTTTGCAAGATTATTGTATTTAGTTTACAAGTAATAAAATATTATAGTAATCTTTTATTACAAATAGTGGTTACTATTAGTAATGTGGAGGGTAATCTTATTACCTTGCTAGGGGCTGTTTTTAAAATATTACCAAGGTAATATAATTTTTTTTCCCATTTTGCCCTTAATTAAAAACCATTTAAGACACAATTGCCCTCAAATGTCTACCAAATAAAAATTATCCCAGCTCCCCTACATTTGAGAAATTAGCTAAAACACCATAGCCACAAAAAAGTTTAAAAGTTAACAAAATACCCCAGCCATCCAAGACCACTGCCAGCCATGACTCACCACTGCCGACCGTCAGTGTCAGTCACCGAAATGGGGCACGACCAGCAGGATCTGGCCTGGCTAGTCTTGTGCCGGAAACGGCCAGATCTGACGTTTCTATGGCTGTTTCACAGCCAAAGTTGTGGCCATGAAGCGACAATAGATCTGGCCGTGAAATGACATGGCCAAATATCTGGCCTTTTCACAACCAATTTGTGGTCGTTTCACGGTCACATTGAAACGGCCACATCTTTGGCCGTGAAATGATCATAGATCTAGTCATTTTCTGGCCATGGATCTGTGATCCATAGGGCCATTTCTAGCTTTGTCGGCGCACGGTTTGCCATATACGACGATTCGTGCGCCATTCTGTCGACTGCCAGCGACGGCTGGCGATGGTGGTTGGTTGCCGACAATGGCTTGAGGTAGGTGGGGGTGATTTTGCTACAAATTAAAGTTTTATATGGCTGGGTTATTTTAGCAAAATTTCAAATATAGGGGGTAAAAAGAAATGATTCAAAAATAATAATAAAAAAAATACTATTTTATTAATATTTAAAAAGAAGGGTAATTTAGTCATCTGTATAATATACTCATCCATTTATCCTCCCAACCAAATATATTATTCATCAATTTATTCGAACCAACCAAACACATTTTTTAAACATTTCCAGTAATCTTTAAGGTGATCTTTTTTTTCGTTAATATAATATACCCCTATAATAAAATATTATATGATTCAAACACTTGGAAAGGGTGTAGAAATATTAAACCATGGGCTTTATTAAGATGGATCTCGTTGGTGGCCTGGTGGGGTTTCCTTTTATTAACAAAGTGTGACAAATATCTAACACAAGGCATATTTTCCTTTTCTCCCTTCCTAGTCCTAGATACCTCATTCCAAAAAATATTCTATCAACTTTTATTTTTCCAAATTCTCTCCGCGTTACCATTTTCCTCTTTTGAATCTCTTCCCATGCCTTATTAAAGTTTGAATATTTATTGGACGACGTAAAATTGGGTTCATACAATTATAGAAGTCAACTCTTTTTTTTTTTTTTTTTTTGTAATTAAGTTATTCGTATTAGTTACGCGTATTTTGATTAATCTTTGAGAGAGGTCTCACTTAAATCATAAATGCTTAGATGAAAAATCAAACTTTAGATCGTATATTTATTCACACTATACCCAATTCTCTATAATATATCAATATGATAACATTATTTTAAGGAACTTAATGCTTTCCTCTTGGTCTTTAGTGGGTCTCACTCAACATTTTTCTTTACGTTTTTGGACAAATAAATAAGCAAAGAACTTTAAATATGGGAAAGTAGTTGACAAGCACTTGTTCTGTTTTCATCTGAGTGGCCATTACCATTTAGTCATTTACCTAACGCAACAACTTTTCTTTAAATCACTGGACCACCCTTGTTACTTTTAAGTTTAACTTTTTGACCCCCTCGTTTCAAGATAAGTTGCCTTTAACGCTTACTTGACTAATATGCATAAATGTTATCGTTTTTCACACAGCGAAAACCTAAGCTCAGAAACTAACCATGTCTAGTCTTCCTTCAGACATAATCGCCGACATCCTCAGCCGACTCCCAGCCAAAAAGCTTTTATGTGTTAAGTGCGTGTGCAAGCCATGGTGTCATCTAATCGACGGTCCAGATTTCATCAAGCTTCATCTCGAAAAATCGATGAAGTCCAACACCAACCAATCCCTCATCTTGAAACACTCTCATCTTTACTGGGTAAGTTTAGATTCACTTGAATCAGCTTCAGAAATCGATCACCCTTTAATGTGTTACAATCACAGCGTTAAGTTACTAGGTTCTTGTCATGGGTTGCTCTGTATTTCTAATATAGTTGATGATATGGCTTTCTGGAACCCATCAACGAGAAAACATAGGGTTTTACCGTTTATGTCGCTGGAGCTCCGGCGATATACGGGTTCTTCCGTGTGTAGTGTTTGTGTTTTTGGGTTTGGTTATGATATAACTAACGATGACTATAAGCTTGTTAGGGTTGCCCAGTTTAGGGGGACAGAAATTTCGTTTGTTGAGTGTGAAGTTAAGGTTTTTAGCCTGAGAAGAAATAGTTGGAAGAGGATTAAAGATATGCCTTATGCGTGTCGGTATCCGGGGACAAATGGGGTTTATGCTTGTGGTGCTTTACATTGGATAGTGAGTAGAAATCGTAGTTCTGGGGATTTCCATCGAAATGGTAATTCTGGAGATTTCAATGTTGTTGTTGCGTTGGATTTAGCTGCTGAGGACTATAAAGAGGTGGCGCTGCCGGAGTTTGGGGATAAGAATTTTAATTTGGACGTGGGCGCGTTGGGTGGGTGTTTGTGTGTGGTTGCAAATTTTTCGAATGTTCGGTCTGATGTATGGGTGATGAAAGAGTATGGAGTGAAGGATTCTTGGGATAAATTACTTTCAGTTACGCGAGAACAAATGTGTGGAATTGGGAGATCTGTAAGGCCTTTGGGTTATTCTAAAGGAGGCAGTGAGGTTCTCCTTGAGCAGGATAGACTAAACCTTTTTTGGTATGATCTGAAAAAGAAGACAGTTAAGGATGTTATGATTCGTGGTACGCCCATTTCGTATGAAGTGGAAATTTGCTTGCAAACTCTTGTTTCAGTTAATATTAGTAAAAGAGATTTGGGAAAGAATCAGGGAACAGCAGACCATGACAAGAATGTAAAGAAGAGGTAAGGGACTTCAAAATTGTGCTTCCTGTAACCTGCTATGGTTTATTCACTCTACAGTATGTATGTCAACATTTTAATGTATTGGCGTTCATATCACTCAGGGATGATTTCTTGTCTGAGGGTTTCAAACTGGTGCTATAGCCAAGTATAGAAAGAATGGGAGCTGGAGCGCAAAAAGGTGCCTTTTGGAATTCTACTATCATATGTTTATAAGCCTAATGAAGTTGACTCTTTTTTTTTTGTGTGTGTGTGTATGTTACATGTATAAGTTTATTCAAAAGCTTATAACTTGCATGCACAAATTGGTACAGGACTGAGTTTGTTAGCAAAAATAGAGGAAAGAAGCGGAAATACTGCAAGTTTATCTGTGGAATTTTTCAAGTTACAGAAATCTACAAGTTTTTTCCTCAGCACTTAGTATCCTACTCTTCATGAGGTCGGAAATATTAAGCATTTTAGAAATTCTGAACATATTAAAAAGTTTAAATACTTATTCTTAGAATATTTATGCACTTATTCCCTTCATATATCAAGCCAGATTTCTTCTTATCAGAGACATTTGCTGTTCATGTATCTTGCATAGCTTACATCAATTGCTGAGGATTTTATTATTTAAAGTATTTTTTGTGCAGTTGTGTGTATCTGATAGTTTAAGCACTTCAATAAATTGGTCTGCTGTACATAATACGATTTATGCAGATACTTCCTTTAATCTATCCTGTTCTTGTTTCACATGCATGGATTTACATTTACGAGCCAGTTTTGACTTCTTTTTTTCTCCCTAAAAGTTGATTAATGATGGTTTGCAATAGTTTTTGTCTCAAAGAAACTAGTGTCGGGAACTTTTGATTCTAACTCTAGCACCCTTTGTGGTGATCTGGCTGTGGCTGGCTGTCTAAGGCTACTAGGGGAGGTTTGATTCATTATTTAACCAGGCCCAGTGTGCAAAAAATCTCTTAACTGCTGATTTTGATCTATTTTACTGAACCCCCCACCCTTTTCCTCCTCAACTATGTACAATTGTATTTCCAACTCTTATGTGAAAACAATGTTTTAAGAAAACTAATCCACTGATTCTTTTTTGGCTGGTAATAAAGTGCTAATATTGCATGAATACTCTTAGACTTTATGAGTTACGTATTTTAATTTATCTGTATTATATGGATAATATGTGTGTTCTCTAATTCTCTATTCACATCCAATTATGATAAGATATGTCAGATAATTTTGTTCTGCCAAGTCCTCCTGTAGTTGCATTGAGATAGCTTGATACATAAGTTGCTACTTAGTTGTTGGCTATTGTAGTATTCGATTGATGTGATATGTGTTATGGCCTATCTATTTTCCGAGTTTGCATCAAATCTGATATATTTCCTTGCGTGAATCAGAATACATCTGAGTTGTGTTCCAGAACCTGTAGTGGCAATAGCTTTCCTAGCTGTTTCTTCAGCACAGGGACCCGTATTGAGAGAAAATCATCATGGAGGGGGTGATACATGCTGTGAATTTTTTAATTCTCACACCTTAGACCACCAAATCCTGGAAGATAGACAGGCTGAGTTCCAGTTGCTGCCCAGATCATCTTCAAATGTTTCTGCTCATGAACTATCTCAAGCAGTAGTTACGGAATGTCTCTCTGGAATTGCAGTTACTCTATTTTCTGTTAATAAATTACTGTGTTCTGTAATTGCTATGCATGATTAGATTTGTAATTAGTAGTGTTGGAGTGCCATGTGTTTTTATGAGGCTTGAAAAGAAGAATATTAGTATATTACCTGTAATGCATAAGAAATGTTCATTATGTAATGTACTTCAGTCTCTTATTATATAGAGATTAACACTCATTGAGCTTAATTGGCGAACAACATTTCTCAAATTTCATATATTTCTCAAAACATTAGACACAATAGATTTAGAAATCAGTCTTGTACATGTCAAATAACTAGACAATCTGATCTAAAAGAAAACTGAACAATTCTGACAGCTTTATAGTCATTGCTGACAGTATCATTTCCAAGCCCATAACGAAACCCCTCCTCTTCACCGTGAGGTGTGATCAGAGGTGCCACGGATAACGGCTTATACCAACAGGTTCCATAAAATACGATCCAACTTCAAACAACGATGACACAGAAGGACCCCATTGCAGGAACCCACTATTTCATGTCTCTTGGAGTACTCTTACTGGTTGACCCAAAATGTTGCCAAAACTTTTAGAGAGTGAATTACTGGCCAGTTAACTATGGCGTTGTGGGTCATAAAGACATGATGGTTGTTGGTATTTATGGAGTGTTGAAGAAGCATGTTAATGAAATGTTGACTGCCAGTTAAAGCACGCCATGACTTTGACACGCATCTTAAACGAAGAAAGCGACTCAAAGGGTAGTCTCATGAGCACTTGTATTGTATAATCAATCCTTCAAAGAGCCCTAAAATCTTGAGGGTTTGAAACTAATCTACTAAGAAAAAACAGCTGAATAGTTAAGGTTTAAAAGCTTACTTACGAGTGTGTATGTTTTTCAGAATGAATTTCTCAACTGAGATAGCCGTGCTTAGCTTCATCTTGTAGCATCAGAATGAGAGGAAGTGAGTGGGGAACCTTGATTAGTGGGGATCAGTGGAAAGTCGAAGAGGATGCCAGGCCCAATCAGTCTTTTCATTCTCCATTATTGGGCAAAAATCGTCCCCCACAACCCCAAAGGATTGGCATAGTGATAAAGAAGGTTGACCTCTTCATTCACTTCTTTAATTCAAATCATTTTTGGGTCTAGTTTATCTGGTTCATTGAATTTGTAGGGTATTTAATGAATTCCAAAATTAGTTCAAATGTACGCAAATTAGTTTAGACACCCCAATTATCCAAAAAAAAAAAAAATCATCCCACACGACACGCACAACCTATGTTTGACTAACAAATGCTACCGAGAGGTTAGTGCATGAACTTGAAAAGAAATTTGAATGGAAAAATTGAAATTTCATAGAGGATGCACAACAACGGAGATTTCAAGAAAAAACTACAAACTCAATTTCTGAGGTATAACAACAGAATGACTTCACCCGATGTTGCAATCGCTACATGTTTAATCTTAGTGAAAACATTTTAGTTCTGTGATAGGAAAATTCCTAGTACTGTGGCTGGCTAGGCAGTTAGATATGTGGCAGGTTCTTGCTATAACAAAACAAAACAAAAAAAAACAAAAAAAAACAAAAAAAAAAAAATTCTCACAACCCTTCCCAATTGAGCCCCAGAAATTATACTTTTACATCATTGTTGAAAAACTAGCCAACATAAACCAGATATAAAGCCGAAGAAAACATACTTCAGGGATCCTTTCTCCCTTCCATTTTCTGAATTCCTCATCTGCACTGCCCACTCTGGTGTCAACTTGAAAGAATTGAGCTTGTCGTTCTAAATTTGAAAGATGATGAATTATCATACTAAACAACGCATCAACCTTAATTAACATAGGGAAATTCATTGGTTCTGAAATACAGAATTAAAGCAATGTAACAAAAAACAGAGAAACTATTTAATAAATTTCCATTGATGTCAGCTGGAGTTACTTCATTTTTAACAAAATAAATCTTCTTTGAACTCTACCTTTTCCTTCTCCTTATACACTTTGTTCAATTCCATCAAATTCACTACCCCCACCAAGCGAAAGGAGACAGACTTTCTAAACACATATGAGCGTTTAAATGTAAAAGCTCATCAGTAAAACTATAGATATTCGCCTCATCCTTCTTCAGGTCATACCATGAGAGACTGTCATTTTTTAGCTCGTAGGAGAAGTTTTTCACCATTCTTTGAATATGCTAGAAGCTTTGGATTGTCGCATCCATTGAAATCACAAAAAAACATTAAGTCTGAGCTAATGCAATCTAGACCAGGACTCCTACTCTCCATGTTGTTTCATCACCCACATTGCAATCATATACCTGTAGAAAACACAGGCATCCTTCCGAAACAGATATATCAAAAGAATGAAACTTTTGAATCAACATCAAACTTATATGCATTAGTAACATCATCCCTATTTGTTAGTATTCAGAAGTAGCACCACATTGAATTCTTCAGTGGATTAAAAGCAACTATTAACCAAGAGGATTTTGCATTTGGAGTCATATCCTATCTGATCCAGGATACACAAACCTATGTAATGCACCATATGCAAAACACTATGCATGAATTCAATCTCAGACTGTAAAACTGAAATATTCTAACCACCTTAAAGTCACTGTTACGTGATCATATCCAAATCCATAGCTATACGTCACGGAAGCATGAAACCTGTAAACACTTCCAAGTGAATGGATTCCATGAGACAAGTTCATCATCCACATCAAGAAAATGGAAAAGACAGAGCAACCCATTGCAGGAACCAAAGACAAAGCAGCCCATTGCAGGAACCCACAATTTCATATTTCTTAGTAGATGTGAATAGCTTATCGGATTTTGTAAAGGGCTCATCCAACACTTCATCAAAAGCCGCCACCGCCAGCGAGTAAATAGATAGGAGAGAACCGAATTCTGTTATGAGAGAAAATAACAATTCCTAGTATTGGTCTTGATGCAGTGTTGTAGATGTAAGTCGATGAAATTTTGGCTGTCAATCAAAGCACACCGAGATTTTGAAACACATCTAAAACGAAGAAGAGATTTGACGGGTAGTCTTATAAGTATTTCTATGATTAATTTGTCAAGGAGATCGATCATCTTATGGGTTTGAAGGCTAACTCACAAGTGTTTCAGAATGAACTTCTCAACTCAAAGCTTTAATTTGAACGGCAGCATGGCATTATAACTGAGTCAAACCCTGATGCCAAAACCCAATTATATATTTTTTTTTAAATTCTGATTTTACACTTCTTCTAATACCATTATTGGGATAAGATCATTAGAAGGTTCTAATTTCGAACCATGACCATTAGATGTCAACATGTTGAATGGTTTAGATTAAAAGTGACTTGACAAATTCATATTCAAAATTAATTAACAAATCTTGAAAACCGATCTGTAATCACTTGCAGATTTGCAAATTTATTTTTATATACGAATTTGTCGGGTCAGCTTTAATCTAGACCATAATGTATTGGCATCTAAGGGTCATAATTTTTTGTGTTCAAAATTGTGTAAAAGGCAATCCTCATTCTTAGAAATGTTCACATAGTGAGGATACTTTGGTTTTTGATATATAGATGAATGAGATAAGGGCATCAGATAAATAAGAGTGAGCATAAGTGAAAGAAAACAGGCTAAGAAGAGTGAAATGGAAATGTAAGAATTATCCATGCCAATCATTTGTAAAAGCACTTAAACACTATACAAAACAGACCCAGAAATAAGTCTTTTTACATTATTGTTGAAAACTAGCCAACATAAACCTGATATAATGCTCAAGAAAACAGAGTATAGAATATATGTGAATGTCCCTTTACCCATATTCCTTTCTCCCTTCCCTTTTTCTGACTTCCTCGGCCGCCCTGTTCACTTGATCACTCTGACATTAACCTAAAAGAATTAAACTTGTTATACCAAATTTCAAAGATGACAACAAATCAAATAACTGAACAAGGATGCGAGTTTGATAACATTATTCAGAAGTAAAAATCTAAAGCAGTATAACAAAAAATAGGGCAACTTTTGAATAAATTTTTGTTGATGTCGGCCAGAGTGACTTCATTTAAAACAAAATAATGCAGAAAGCAACAATAATAAAGTAAAATTTCTTTCACTCTTACCTTTTCTCCTTTTCCTTAGGCACTTTATACAGATCCATCATATTTGCTACCATCACCAAGTGAGACGAGACTTTCGAAACACATATTAGCATCAAAATATGGAAGCACATCCGGAAAAGTGTATACCTTGTTATCACTCTTCTTCAAGTCATACCAAATGAGAGCCTTTTGTTGTGTTTCCAGTAGAAGTTTTTCACCGTTCTTCGAATATGCTAAAGATTTAACAAAGCCAGATTCATCCAAATCATAAAAACTATCAGGTATAAGCAAATGCAATCTAGACCAGAACTCCTCCTCTCCATATTGTTTCATCACCCACACCTCAACAGTATTAGAATCATATATCTTAAGAAAACATAGGCACCCATCCAAAACTGCCAAATCAAAATCATACGATTCTCCCACTCCCAGATACTTTAAATCATCATCCTTATTTGAAGTACTGGGAAGTGGCAGCTCACGAAATTCTTCATCCTCGAGACTAAAAGCAACAATTAACCAAGGGGATTCGAAATCTTGAGCCTCCATCCTATATGATTCAAAGTACACTAACCAATATAATGAACCATTTACAAAACAAGCACTACGCAAAAACTTAAATTCACTATAAGGGAAGTTTTCAATCCTCTTCCATGAATTCAATCTTAGACTGTACACTTCTGCTTCATTGCCAATATGCCTATAAGATTTCAAGCCATATGATGGAATTAATTTCAAAACCTTATAGTCATTGCTGACATCATCATATCCAAATCCATAGCGATAAGCTGGGGAAAGGCGAAGCTTGCTGACACGTGCAGTGGGTAACTTCTTATACCTCCTAGTAAATGGATTCCATAAAATAAGTCTCTCATTCTTAGGAATTGAATAGGAAAGACAGAGCAACCCATTGCAGGAACCAACAATCTTGTAACCCTTATCAGATGTAAATACGTTGTTGAATTTAGTTAAGGGTTCATCGAACACTTCATCAAAAGCTAGCGAGTAGTGATCTGTTTTATTTTCACAATCGGAGAGAATAACATGAAGGTTTGTTTGGGTATTAATGGAGTGTTGAAGATGTAAGCTGATGAAATGTTGGCTGTCGATCCAAGCGCACCACGACTTTGACACACATCTAAAACGAACAAGGGATTTGACGGGTAGTCTGATGAGTATTTCTAAGATTAATTCTTCAAGATGTTCGATCATCGTGTCGGTTTGAGACTACTAAAAATTTAAAAACAGAAACAAACAAAAATTTGAGGTTTGAAGGTTAACTCACAAGTATATCAGAATGAACTCTTAGAACTGAGAGCTTCGTTCTGGATGGCTAGCTCGCATAATAACCTCGGGTTAAATAGCGATGCCAGTGGATGATGGATTCAATCAGTCGGAGTGCCAAAACCCTAAAGATTTTGTGTAAATGAAGAATGACAAATCCTCCTTAAATCCAACGGATTAAAATTATTCACTTTCTAGAGGGAAAATTATATAAAATTTACTCAAAAATATATATAACTCCCGTTAAAACTAACAGTTTAAGGATAACATTTGTCTTTAAATATCCTCTACTGTACATAAAAATTTGTCTTTTGCATTTCCCTTTCTTAAAAATCATAACCTGACTCAAAAAAAAAAAAAAAAATTCTAAAGTTATATTCATTTTTAAATAAAATAAAATAAATTTGCAGGTAATCGGCGGCCAGATCTAGCCTAGAGTGATCGGATTTTTGTTGGCCATTTTTGTCTCGTCGTGCAACCTTTTGGGCAAACATGGCTAATATGACGTGACCATTTTAGGCCACATTGTGGCTAGCTGAGAGGCCCATGGCCATTGCTTCAAGCTAGATGATGACACACATTCTTCCTATTATGCGTCACCATATTTTAAGAATCATACATTGTAACAATCATAATTGAGTCTCACATCGTTAAAGAATAGTTTGATATGTGGTTATAAACTAGTTAATGAGGGGTTTTACCCATTTGTGGTCTTTACCATTGGTATCAAAACAAAACCACCATATGGCCAGGGTTGGCACTTGGCACCCATTTGTTACCTCCTGAAAAAGATAAATAATCATATAGACAATGAAACCCTACAACAAACATCTATACACAGAGAGGGAAGACAAGGGAGGACTAGGAAGGTACCTTCGCCAGAATATACTTAATCGATAACCGTAGCGACGAGAATGGCAGACGATTGCACTAGAGAATGGATCAGAGAATTGATTGTAGACTAGACGTTGACTGGAAGGAACGGCCAAAGGAAGAAACAATCAGACAAATATTTTTCCCCCAAATCCACAATTGAATTTGTGTTTTTTGTCTTGATACGTAAAATATTGAAAATTAAAAATAAAAAAATCAATTGTTTAATGATATTCCAATTTATGCCCGATTCAAAGACCGATTCCTTGCTAGGTACCTGAAAGCCGAATGGTGGAATCAGAATCAGAACCATACAGTTTTGGTTCCACCCAGGGGCGGATTCAGCCCCTTTGAGGGTAGGCCTGGGCCTACCCTCAAGATTTGAAAAAAAAAAAAAAAAAATTAATATACAGGCCATGAAAAATTGTTAATTAACATATATATCAAGTCGTATTTTTAGATTTTTTAAAAACAAGAACTATTATATATACTGTATATCTAGGTCTACAAAAAACTTGTTATTAATATATATATATTTTAAGCCCACATCATATTAAAAGTTTAAATCTCTCTCCAATGTTTTTCTACACAGCTTTACTTGTTTTTTATGATTTAATCCGCAAATTCTTTACTCTCTCTTTCTCTTTCTCATGTTATTCTCTCTTAAAATTTTTGAAGATTAAAATTATTAAATTTTCACTACTCAATGTGTCATAATTAGCTCAGTTTTCTATTTTATAGATTTTAGGTACGTGTATTGTTTATTTCAATTTAGTTTATTTAATGATTGAATCATTTTTTTTTTCTTTTTGAGGTTTTTTATTCTAATTTGAGAAAAAAAGATATAAATCTTGTGAGTTTATTTTGTATTTTCTATCTAAGAATGAATCTTCTTTCTCAAATTAAAACCTTAACTATATTTTAAAGGACGTTATTCTTCACTCTTCATCCACCACTTTCTTATATTTTAAACGTTACCCTTCAGTTGTTCAAAATTGTTAAAGAAATTTGAGTTACTATCTATGTTTATACTAAAAAAAATTCCTCTCTTTTATTAATTCATATTAAAAGTCAACGTAACGTTGACTTGATTTAAACGTAACGTTGACTTGATTTAAGTTTTGGTTGACTTTAGCTAAATTAAGCTAGGTTTGATTAACGCTGTAAAAATTCATATTATAATATTTGAAAGCCAAAAATAAAAATATTAAAAGAAAGTTTTGTTCAAGGTTTACTCAACACTTTTACTCAAAATTTTGCTTCTCATAGATTTATTCAAGTAAGAAAATATTATGTTAATGTACATTCTTTTTTCTCAGGTTCTTAATATTGTATTATTTTTTTTATTTATTAAGGTTTGATGATTTTTTAAAGTTTTTACTAATTATTTGACAAATAATGGCCGAGCTGTGGAGGCCCCCCCAGACAAAAATCCTTGGGTCCGCCACTGGTTCCCCCCACGCCTAACAGAACCGGCCTTTATTATTATATATATATTATATATATATGATTTTTTCGCACCCTTAGTAATATTTGCTTTCCCCATTTGTGGTTGTTGCCCACATAACTTTTATTTCACTTTGTCAGAAGGGTTTTTTTCTTAGTTGCCTAAATTTTAACATATTTATTAACATTTATGTAGATTATAGTTAGTTTAGAAAACGTCTAATAGATCAGTGTATTTGCAGCAGAGTTGGTAATTTTCCCTGCAGATGGTCACATAATTTGATATATAATAACAATGATGTTTTAAACACAAAACATATTAATGGTTACATAATCTGATACATAATGCTTCTGACATATAATTAGAATGATGAAAACATATTAATAAAGAAGATTTCAATTAAAGTTGGGCAAGGACAGGTCCCAAGCAGGCTCAGGCCTGGGCCTGTTTGGGACTGGTCCCACTCATGGGCCTGGGACCGGTCCCAAGCCCATGAGAAACTCTAGGACCCGGACCGGTCCTATGGGCCTGAAAAAAAAAATTTTCCCCCTCGATTTTTTTTATACTTTGGGGGTGAAAGGAAATTTTGTAGAGGGTTTTTAGTATTTTTTGGGGGTAAATCTTATAAACGTTTTAGGCTTGAAAGATTTTTTCTTTAATAAATTTTATAAAACTTCCTTTTAACCCCTATAATTTATGTTTATTTTAAAATTTATATGGGGTTTTATGCAATTATACAAGAGACTAAAACGAAAATGTGTAAAAAAAATTTGAGCCCAGGCCTGCAACCGAGCCCAGTGGAGAGCCCAGGCACTCCTCCTTAGGCCTGGTCCCGTTTTGGGACCAAGCCTCCTAGGATTGGGTTTTGGAACTGGGCTTTTGGGCCCAATCCCAAATGCCCACCTCTAATTTCAATGATCATTTACAACCATTTAAATTATATGATTGTGATTCTATAGAAACTTACGAAAAAGATAAGAGAAGCAAATATATTTAAGAAGTTGTTCAAATGTTTCATAAGATTAAAATCAAATGAGCTAAATAACCTTTATTTATAATAAAATAATCTAATAAATTTGATTTATAAGTTACGTTGTAGTTAATTTACCCATATGCTAAAAGAAATAGTACATAATAATAAACTCATCATTTCCTGCGTTCGCCTCTCTAATTGTCGACTGTTCCTTGATTCCTCTTGCATCAATCTTGATATAGTCAAGACTTTTCTTACCTAAAAATAACAAATCACAAATATGTGAGTTTGAGAGTAAATACAAAAAAAAAAAAAAAAAATGTCATTAATTAAATTTTCAATAAACTAAAAAAGAACTCTAAAAGACTTACTATTGAATTTGAGTAATTATCTCCTTATCGTCAACATTATACGGCGAAACGAGATTTTCAAGACACATATAAGCATTGTAAGATCCCATTTTGATTGGGAATCTAATTATGTTAGATGTCGCCTCCTTCAAGTTATACCAGGTAAGAGTGTTAAAATTTGTTTTCATTAAAAGTTTTTCTCCGTTCTTGGAATAATATGCAACAGGTTGTGCATATCTATCAGGATCAGCAATGGGATATTCCAATTTAAACGAATGCAAATCAAGCGAAAGCAATTTAATCCAAGACTCCTGAACTCCATATTGTTTCATAACCCATACATAACAAGTCTCACAAACCTCCTCAGAAATACATAGGAATCCTCATAGATTATCAATTTGGAAACTTTTCCCATTTCTATTGGCATTTGGATGTGGTATTGTATTAAATTTTTCAACTTCAAAGTTAAAAGCAACAATTGACCACTCTAATCCTTGAACCCGAAATCCATTCTCATTCAATATTAAAGGATATGCTAACCAATGTGACGCACCATTTACAAAGCACCCTCGATTATGATTATACTGAAACTCATAATTATGATCACCATAAGGATAATCTTCAATACATTTCCATGAATTCAATCTAAGACTATAAACATAAATTTGATTGCGAATAATAGAATTTTTGCGATTTAAATCATCTGGGTAAAAAATCTGAAATATTCTCAATACCTTATAGTCATCATGTACATGATCATATCCAAATCCTTCGAAAGGCTTCGAATTCTTTAAAAGATCAAATTCAAGTTTAGGTGCCTGAGGTAACTTGTTATACCGCCTTGTAAATGGATTCCATAAAGCATAATCAAAATCAAGAAATTGAGTGCAAAGCAACCCATTACAACATCCAATTATTTCTGTGCAAAAACACTCTGTACGTGAGCCAATTGTTTGACGGCTCATTGGGATGTCTATTTTTGTTAATGATCTCTTCAGCCCATCATTATCAAAATATTCTGAACACGAGCAGAGTTGATTGGAACTAATTTGAAACATCATATGAAAATTGGTGTTGGAATTGATGGATTGTTGACGATGCATATCAATAAAATACTCGCTATCGATCAAATCACGCCAAGACTTTGAGACACATCTAAAACGAAGAAGAGACTTTACCGATAGCCTCAAAAGTATATCTACTATTAATTCTTCATAGAGTTTTAACATTCTAAACAAGAACAAGAATGAAATTAGCAAACCACTTACCAAGACGAGTTAGCAGAAGCCTACAATTCCACCACAATCAGAAGAACCCTATGCCTGAAAAAAATTCTGAAATATTATTGGTGAAAGGTGAAATAAAAAAGCATATACCTATATATAGAATAAAAATCCTAATTCTACTCTGTAAGCTAATTAATAAACAAAATAAAATCCTAATTGATATAGGAAATAAATAATTATAGAATAAGAATCCTAATTCTACTCTGTAAGCTAATTAATAAACAAAATAAAATCCTAATTAATATAGGAAATAAATAATACTCAACGTATTAAGATCTCCTAATACCTCAAGTATTACTTATCCTACTCAAAGTCTAATTCCTGAACCTACTAAATAAGACCTCTTACTATTCTACTAAACTTTTTAAAATAATTAATTATTAATAATATTGAATCCCTTTTAGAATATTCCTCTCCCTTTAATGGCCTCGATCGGTTTCTCTGCACCTTACGATTGAAACTACTCTCCAGCTTCATTTTCAGAAAGTAAAAAAGAAACAATGGTAATACAACCCCTTAAAAAAAATTAATAATTTTTATATTTTAATTTTGTCAATAATTTTTATAAAGCAAAACTCAATAATGAAGTAAGCTTTTACATTTAACTAATAGAATTGTTGGTGTGTGATTTTGACACCAACCAAACGCACGTGTGAAATGCTGAACTGGCCCAGAAGACACACGTGGGTATGAGAGTGAGAGTAAAAGAAAGCAATGGAGAACAGCGTTTAAAGTGGTTCGGATGCTCAAAGAAATGAATCCTACTTCTACTGATTTTGTATTAATAACAATGGTCAGATCGCGCTCAGCGGACTGACTTCCAAATGATTACACAAGAGAGAGAGAGAGAGTGTAAAACCCCTCCCTAGCCGGGTATTTCCTAAGTATCCCTTGGCCATTGAGAACCTAGAAAACGCACGCCTAGGAAAGAAGTTTATTTTAAAATCCTATTTAAAGAATAAACTTGTAGTTTAAAACATATATATAGATATATGTGTTTATTAATTAATTTTTTTTTTTATTTACATTTTAATAGTTCATTGTATAATCAAAAAATATAATTTCCTTTCTTGGGTAAATTATGAAATCCAGAGTAATACTTACTAGAACATCAACCTTTATAAAATTTACTAGCATTTGATTTCTTTTATTATTAACATATTTACTCCATTAAGAACATGGACATATTACTACATTATGAGATATGAACATATTTACTACAGTAAATATTAGCAAAACCATTCAATAGTCATCTTAAAGCATCCCCTCATGCTCATAGCGTCCCTTGGAATCCTCTCCCAGCTTCATGCCTTAATCCGTACCTGCAAAACTTAAAACATTTCGTAGTGGAGCGCTAATCGCTCAGTAAGGAATATGACCATTTATAAACTATTAAGGTTCATTATACAAGTAAATTACTTAGGACTTTACCTACCTACAAAACATGACCTTCATTCTTTGACATAACAAGTTCATAAACATATCATACATTTTGGACTTTTCTCATGAACATAAGTCATAACATAATCTACATAATATAACATAGAACATATATGACTTATGATATTCTGTACATGGCATGCTTATTTCTTTTGTCTTTATACTTGATGGTTTCATTAGTCTTTGTTATCCGATCGGATTCATTTGAACCATTACCTTGTTCTTGTTCGTCACCTCAAAGGACTCATGGTTTCCATAAGAATTCCATTCCTCTGATCTTGGTTTATACCCCAGAGACTCATGGAATTCATTCTTAACATTTCATAAATTTTTCATAAGACAACTAAATAAGCTATATGCATACCATTATGAATGCAAACATATGGACTACATATATTCCATCTCATCATACTATTTCTCCTACTAAACTTCTTAACTTAATTCATTCAATTTCTCATACAATACAAAGAATTTCAGTAGTAAGATTATTCAGGGTTTATTAGAATTAAAAACAATGGGAATTCCATTAAGAAAGTGATGCCATACAGTTCGTTACTTTCAAGCATTTTCCATTATCTTCTAATTCGAATTTATTTTTGGCTAAAACATAAATTTTTTAGGTCTGTTTCTCAAATTTTTAACACTTCAAGAATCAACTCAATCGGACTTCTATAACTTCAGTTATGACTGTTTCAGTGAAGCATGTACAGTATAAGTTCAAAAAGCCAAATCCGAATTCTATTCATTTTACCATGTCACCTTCATTTGCACATTCATATCATTTGCCATATCTTTCTTAGTATAAAAGGCCATAAAAACCTCCCTTTTTACAGAATCAAAAAGTGCCAAAACATCGTCCAACTACAAATCTCTTAATTGGCATAATCATCCTCCACATCACACATACACCAATCAACACACCCATTAACAATCCATAACCAAAACATAGCATCACACTCATATTACCATAAACAAATGAGTTTCATAAACCCTAGGTGTTATCAATTATAGTCATAAGGGAGATTTTTCCTTACCTTATATTCAAAGCACAAAGGTCCTCCTCCTTGGTCCAAGTTTCACCTTTCTACCTTACACACAACCACTTATGAATTTCTCTTTTAACCAAAAAATTCAGAAAAACTAGGGTTTTGAAACTCACCTTTAACCCTGAAATTGAAGTTCTTTAAGGTGGATGGTGATCTTCTTTGAAAATCAACTTGAAATCCTAAGAATTGAGAATAAAAGCTTGGATTAGTGGCTTTTATGGTGGATTTGAGAGATAGAAGAAGATATATATTTGGGGTCTCCAAGGCCGACTACTCTCTTTTTAAACCTTGTAAATATTCATTCCATTGATACTCTAATGTGATTGGTCAATAAATTAATATAAAGGTCATTTGCATAAATTTTCAATAAGGGCGTTTTGGTCATTTCTACCCACAACATAAAGATAAGTATTCATTATGCCTTTGACTTCTTTGAAACACTTATCCATTAAGCAATCCCATTAGGTGAATGACTAATTTACCCTTGGTGCACTTTTATGGACACTTAATCATATGGTTTTGTATGAAAAGACCATTATACCCTTGGTTACCGTTTATGCCATTTAACCTTATCAATCAACTTTATAACCATTCTACCCTCATTTCTCTTCAATGACATCATCCTTTACACTTTATAACGGCCACATCTCAAAATACATGTAAATTGACCATTTTACCCTTCCATTCAAAAAAAAGAAAATTACTTGAAAAGGTAAATTTCATACCTTAGGGCATCGGAATAATAACGTGGGGTTTACAGAGAGAATGTTGTTTTTCTTTAGAGAGATTAGCTAATCTCCCAAATGAGAGAGGAGCTCCCAATTTATAGTGGGATGGATTAAGGTTATGATTACTAAATTTGTGAGTTGGTGGGATTATCCGGGCAAATCCTTCTTTATGTCCCATTACCCACCTTCTAAAGCGATTTACGTGATTTGATGTAGGGATTAGACACGTGGAATCACTCTAGCTCCTGGCTGGTCTGACGCGCACCCACTGCCCTGACAGGAGCATGCTGTCCCTGTCATTGTGTGACGTGGCTGCCTTTGACTGGTTGCGGACCTACCTAAGCTCTGACTTTTTACACTGATAGGTCTTGCATCAACCCTACTTTTTTAGACATACACAGAAGTCCCCTAGTTTTTAAGGTTTGAGGATCGAACCTTGGAAACTATAATTCATGCCGTGACAAGATGCCTTCAAGGAGATTCTGGTGATTCCAACCTGTTTGAAAAAAGGTTGAGACTGCGCTTTTGCGCACGTGACTTGATACAGTCTTTGCTTAAGGATGAACGACCTGATCTTAGACCATACCAGTGCTTTGATTTCAATTTTCCGAAGTTCACGACCTGATTATACTTAGAATTCGCCTCTAGGCAAGGGATTTGGCTGTTTCGAAATTGAATACTCGTCGAAAGTCACTTTGCTTCGCGACCAATGGGGTAGAATCGAGGAGTCATGTCGCTTCACGACTGGCCAGATGAAGAGTGTTCTACATAATGATCTCTTCAGACGTTACATGTTGCATTTTCGTAATGGATACATTTAATGAAATGCCTCCTGCTTTGACAGACGTGTCCTATGCGCAAGTAATGCCAACCATGCGCATTAAATGTGTGACATGTTGAAACGATATCCTCTATCAAAGCATTAAATGCAGATTGGGGCACATTTAATGCAGAGGGAGAATCGTGCCATTGCTTAGTTTTTCAACGGAGAAGGATGACGATTTGTTTTCTCGGAGCATGACGGTCACCCTTCCCTGCGGATCTGCGACACGTGATCGCGATCAATGGTGAGATACATTTTTCTGTCCAAAAGTCGTTTGATTTCAGGAAAACCAAGCGCCAGTTCTTTTTGCTATAAAACGCAGGCTCATTTTAGGCAATGTCACCATACTCATCTTTTCAGTGAGAGCAAGAGACTTTTACAAACTTGGATTCTTTGCCTTCCAAACCAGCACGTATCTGATATTCGAAACAGAAGGATTCATCTTCATATTCCGAGAGGTAAGGATCGCTTTCTATTTTTATTTCTTACTCCCAGTAGTTGATAAATGATATCAGTCTGCCGATAGTTGATCGAAGACAAAATGTTCTTGCTGGGTTCGAGCCATGAATGGAGGCTCGAAACATTCTGTTAGGGTTTTTCTAGGATATAGGAAGGGAAGTGTTTGCTTTCCTCCATGTCATC